TCTATCTATCTATCTATCTATCTATCTATCTATCTATCTATCTATCTATCTATCTATCTTATCTCTCCAGATATTTATTTGGGGAGAGATGAGGTGGGGTAAAAGAATTGTTAAAATTTGACTTACATGACTGTGGAGGCCCTGGTGAATCCCAATTTGGTGGGGGTAGTCTCAATAGTTTGGAGACTCTGAGAAGAGCTGACATTCTAATCCAAAGGCAGTCGGATGGGAAAATACCTTCTCACTCAAGGAAGGTCATTCTTTGCTCTTTCATTGTCATCAACTGAGGAGTCCCACCCACACTGTGGAGGGTAATCTGCTCTGGTAAAAATCCACTGATGTAAATGTTAATCTCATGCAAAAGTGCTTCCACATAAACATGCAGAATAACATCTGACCAAATATCTAGGGACTAACACCTGGCCAAGTTGACATAAAATCCATCATCACTTTCTTCTATGTCAGTAATGATTCAGTGTAGCATCCAATTCATGCAAAGTAGTTGTAAAGATGTATTCTGATGAAAGTCACTTTAAAAATTCCATCCTTGTGGGTTAGAGTACTTGCTGAGCAAGCATGAGGACCATGTGATTTCCTGTTAGTCTGTAATGCTAAGGCTTCTGGAGGTAGGGAAAAGTGGAGGATGGTGACAGGACAGCATGCAAGTGGACAGCCCTGAATGGAGAGAGGAGAACTATGAGGCTGTCTGGCTGCCAGCCTAGTTTCATGGTCAGTAAAAGATCTTGTATTAGAGGAATAAAGTAGAGAGTGACAGAGCCTTCTGTAGCCTCCATGCTTACAGGGACACATTAGACATGAACACATATATCATACACACACAGACACACACATACAGACACACTCAGATACTAAACAAATTAAAACTTTTTTTTTGTTTTTTTGATAAAGAGTTTCTTTGTGTAGACTTGGCTGTTCCGGACTCACTTTGTAGAACAGGCTGGCCTCAAACTTGCAGAGATCTGCATGTTTCTGCCTCCCAGAGTGCTAGGATTATAGGCAAGTGCTACCACACCAAGCTAACTTTTTTTTTGAGACAGATTTCTTTGTGTAGTTTAGCTGTCTTCGACTTACTCAGAAGACCAGGCTGGCCTCAAACTCACAGATATCTACCTGCCTCTGCCTCCCCATGCGATGGGATTACAGGTGTGTGCCACTGTTCTCTCCTTAAAAGTCAATGTTAAGTGTGTCTTTTTAAAATAATATTTCTCATAAAAATATACATGTATATAAATTCTTTTTTTTCATTTTGAAATAGGGTCTTCTGTAGTCCAAGCTGCCCTCAAATGTGCTTTAGCCAAAACCGGTCTTGAACTTCTATATTTTTTTATTATTTATTTATTTATTTTTTTGAGACAGGTTTTCTCAGTGAGAGAACCAGGCCTGACACCCCCCAAAATCACCAGGAACTAAGCCATAAGTCACAAATTCCAGAAACAAGGTCGTAGAATTCCCTATCCAAGGAACAGCCTGGGGATAATAACAAGAATGGGAAAGTATCTTATCTCAGGGTGGAGCTTCTGTGCCAGACAATTCACTGACCTTGTAGTAGAGCATTTCTTGGCACAGAAAACACCTAACATTCCTGATGTCTATAGATAGCTCGCTCAATGTTTTATTAGTTAACCAGTCACCTTGCAACAAGCTTGCCTTTGCTGAATATCACCCAGTTGTATAACTGATAAGCTGGGAATTCTCGGTTCTTGTTCAAACCTCAGCAAAATCCCTGCCATGCAGCTAGCTGCTTGGGGTCTCTCTTCTCTGATCCACTGTGTTGGTGATGGTGGAGAAACCGAGTTTAAGACCAAATAACATTCTTTGCTCTTTCATTCGTGGTCCAGCTCCTGGTAGTCCAAGTGTAACAGGTTGTCCTGGTACTCTCTCTGTAGACCAGGCTGGCCTCAAACTCAGAGAAATCTGAATGCCTCCTTGAATGCTGGGATTAAAGGCGTGGGTCACCATACCCAGTTTGGCCTTGAATTCCTTCTCCTTCAGCTTCCCAAGTGCTGGGATTAACAAGCATGAACTATCACAGCCAACTCTCGAAATTTGAAGGCCTATAAACCCAAAGTAAAAAAAAAAAAAATGAGGTTCTTGAGAACTGGGGACATGGCTCAGCATGTAAAACATTCTCTCTTAACTGGTGAACCATCTCTCTAGCCTGTAAAACACTTTCTATATCAGCATGAGAAACAGTTCAGATCCCTAACACCTATATAAATGTTGGTCAATGGGTAGTAGCCACATTAGGGAGAGACAGAAAATACCTGGAGTAAGTTAGCTAGACTAGCCAAGTAGCTCTGTGACCCTGCTTCAGTATATAAGATGGAGAGTGATTGAGAAAGATGGCAACATCAATCTCTGACCCCCACATGCACACACGTGCACATATCTTTTCCAACACAGATACAAACATAAACATACACATGAAAACAATAAGAAAAAAGCCAAGGCTCATGCTTGACATAGTGACTTATTTGTATAATCCTAACACTTCAGGGTGCAAAAAATCAGGCAATCACCCTAAATTCAAATCTGTCTACATAATGAGTTATAAAACAGCATGGGCTAAGAGGGAGGTCTTTAAAAAGAAAGAAATCAAAGAAAAAAATGAATAATAAATTAAGAAACTTGTGGGGCAGAAACACATTTGGAAATGTTTGCTGTGCACAGAGAATTCATAATTAAGTCCAGACAAAGGTAGGAATGAGATGCTATTTTTCTCTTTTTGAGGTGCTTAGCACCGGTCCCAAGCCTGGCTCATGTTCAGCAAATGCTACCTACAACTGTGCTGTGCCATATCCAAGGCAGAGAAAATCTGATTTCATATTAAATTGGAAAACAAAATTTTGAATGAATAAACTTAAAATTTCAATTTTAAATGTAATGTCTGATTTCAGTGAAGCAGTTCATATATGAACCATTTGTTCACTTTCCAAAAAAAAAAAAAAAAAAAAAAAGCATTAACTTCTTTCAGCTTGCACTCTGTGAATTGCTTTCCACTATACACTGAGGCAAGATGTTTGCAAATTACAGGCCACCTGGGACTACATAGTGAACTCTGACTCAAAACAAACAAAACAAAGCTGGGCATGGTGGTGCACTCCTGTAATCTCAGCACTCTGGGAGGCAGAGGCAGAGGCACACCCAGTTTGGTGTGGTGACCCATGCCTTTAATCCAAGCATTCAAGGAGGCAGAGGCAGTTGGATTTCTAGATTCAGAATTCCTATATTCTGATCATGTACTGTTAATGTGTTTATTTTACTATTTATTTGTTCATGCATTCTTTTTGTGGTATAAAAGATTGAACCTAGAGCTTCCCACATACAATACTGCTGCATTATGTTCCTGGATTTTTTATTTTTTTCAAGCATTAGTGAGTTAGTTGTGTTTGAGTCAGGGTCTCACTTTGTAACACAGGCTTGCCTTGAATTCACAATTACAGCTCTCCTACCTCTGCCTCTTTGTTAGAGTATGTGTCATGACACCTGGCTAAAATTCAACATGGAAGAAATGACAACATCTTACTTGGCAACACATGAATTTCTTTCATTTGTGTGTGTGTGTGTGTGTGTGTCTCACCATCATGTGCAGGTGCTTGAGGAGTTCAGAGGTTGATGGCAAGATGTCTTTCTCAATCCCTATTACACCTACGGGGTAGGTAGAATATGCATGCATTCTTCCTTTCTTGGTAGCTGGGCATATAAGCTTTGTCACCATACCCGGCTTAAAATGTTCATTTTATGTAAATTAAAAGAGCAGTTTGAGGTCTAATTTTCTTTTTTTCTTCAAGACAGGGTGTCTCTGTGTAGCCTAGGCTGTCTTGGACTTGCTTTGTAGACCAAGCTGGCCTCGAACTCACAGAGATCCACCTGCTTCTGCCTCCTTGAGTGCTGGGGTTACAGGTGTGCGCCACCATGCCCTGCTTGGGGTGCAATTTTCATTAGGTTACCAGGCATTCTTTTCTCTTGATTTGTACCCAGATATGGCTGTTAGAGGGCTGCACATCTCAATTCTTACAGCTAAATAAGGATTTTTGTATAACTGGGCCTAAATCAAGAAAATGGAAACCAGCCACCATGTAGGCGTAGGGAAGGGAAAGGTAATGAATGGAAGCTGCAAGAGCTGATGACCAGTTCAGAGTCATGAGAAGGGAAAAAAAATTGTGGAAGGAGGTAAGTTTGGTTATTTGGGGTTCCTCCGGGATGCTACAAGGGGGCTGGAGGCTGCAGTATGGCCAGTACAAGATTCTTCTAGAAGAAAATTCCCAAGGCCACCTGGCCTGAGGAGACACCAGTAATGGCCAGTGGAGGCGCACAGGAGAACCGCCAGAGACGCCGCTGGGGACTGTGTCTGGGCGGGCCGAGGGCGGGCCGAGGGGCGGGGTCTGGCCGGCGTTGTCTCTGAGCGGTTGCCGAGGTGGCGACGCGGAACGTAGGGGCTTTATCTTACGGCTTTCCTGGAGGTGTTGCGCCTCCTCTGCCGCCTTCCTCTTCAGACCGCCTTTTTCCCCCGCCAGTTCACGGGCTCCGTCATGGCGACCCGCAGTCCCAGCATCGTGGTGAGCCAGTGGACTTCTCAGCAGAGGCAGGCCCACGCGGCGGGCGGCCCAAGGACGCGGGCCGTGGGCGCGGGGGAGGCGGGAAAGCCCGGGGGCCGGGGGCGGTCACAGGTTCCTGGAGTCTGGTGGTCCCCACGCGGGCGGCGGGCTGGAAGGAATGACGGGCTTCGGGGGTGAGCCGTCCATCCAGGGAGCCCCCGAGAGAGAGTGGGAGAGAGAGAGGGCTGGCTCCGTGTGGCCCAAGAAGGTGGAAATGGCGTTGGGCTTGATGTGTGTGGCCGGCGGGCGCGCCGCGCGGACAGGCGGAGGGCAGCTTCGGGAATGATCCGGTGCGGGGAGGGAGGGGGAGCTTTCTTGAGAGAGGCCCAGCTCTGGAAGTTTTGGGGCTTGGCGACTTCCGAGCACCTCTGAAAAGGATCTTCAGCACCCAAGACGACAGCATGGGAGGGCATGTTCAGGCCTGGGCTTTGCCTCTAATTCTGCAGATGCCATCATTCATATTTGTGGGAATGCGCAGTTGCTCCATTTAATCTGAGCTGCAGCCCGGGTAGGGGGAAATCACGCCTATTTTCCACCTGAAGAGTGGAAAGGCGGCTCATTTCCCCCATGACCCAGAATAATGGGCTTTAGATTCAGATACGCTTGGCTCAGTAACCTATGCCCTTGGATGCTAAGGGTAATTTTTTGAAAAACAGGGATTTGGTTTTTATGCTAAAAACCATTTTTTTCCACTTCCCCAGTTGGCTCTATTATCTCTCATCTTTCCTCTTCCCCAGTTGGCTCAATTTTTTGTAACCTGTCAAGCTGCTGTCCCCCCCCTTCCCCTCCTACAACCTTGCTAATCATGCTTATTAAAATTGCCCAAAGCTCCTGCCTCCCATTACTTTATTCTGATTATTGCCCCTGCTACTACTCATGTTATATTGTGCTTTATATAATGTCAGTGTCGTACATTTAGCAGTTGCCTGGTTACTTGTTGATTGTCCCACTTACACAAACTTTATTTTGATGTTTTCAGGCAGGGTATTACTGTGTAGCTCTGGGTGGTCTGGAATAGATGATGCAGACCACCAGGCTGCCAGGCTGGCCTTGAACTTGTGACAGTCCTCTTGACTCTTGCCACCAAGTGCTGCTCCACCATTTCCTGCTACTTTTTTTTTTAATCCATTCTTGGAGTTGAACCCAAGACCTTGTTCCTGCTAGGTAAGCTTTCTACCACTGGGCCAAAAGCCTCAGCCCTGTAAACAAGCCTTATAAGGGCAGGACGCAACCACTGTAGCTTTAACATATATCCCAATGTATGGTTTGTGAGAAGTTTTCACTAAGTTTGTTGGGTGAATTAATGGCCATTTGATCCCTGAAAAAAAAAAATGCTGTCTCGTATTGTATGAGGCATTGTGGCTTAAGGCGGAAACACTGTGGTTTTTTGTTTTGTTTTTTGAGACAGGGTTCCATGTAGCCCAGGCTGCCCTGGACTCTTTGTAGATGAGGTTGGCCTCACAGAAATGCATCTGCCTCCCAAGTGCTGGCTTGAAACCACGCCCTGCTTGACACTGTTCTTAATGACCTGGAATCCTGCTTGTTTAGAATATGTTCGGTGTGGCCTTCAATATCTTCACCTAGGCTCAAGCTTTCATTTTAGACAATTTCTTGCTGTGTAGTCCTTTATACCCTGTGTACACCAGGCCTTAAACTTACAGCCATCTTCTTGTTTCTACCTCTGTGGGGGATTATACCATCTGGTTTTAAATTCTCTTACATCTGAGCTACTGGCTGCTGGTGGTAAGACCATAAGATAATTTATGCAAATATAATCCTAATTAGTCTTCAAAGTAACCCTGTAACAATGGTATGTTCACATTAACAAATACACATAAGTTATTAAGAGGGGAGAGCTCTTAATGGTACTAAGCCCTGGTTTAGATGACCAGCACCGGAAGCAAGAATAAGTTTTAGAAAGTGGAGCTCTGTCTCAAACCTAGGTCTGTCTCTGGAGTCTATGCAAGTAAATACTGTGGTAACATACAGTAGGTACTGAGCACATGGTAATGGCTGTTATTTTTATTTTGTTACTGAGGGAGTTAATACAGATGCTTTTAAGCTTTGAGATATGGTACTTGGTCAGTGTAGAGTTAATTAGTTCTTACTGCTAGAAGTGGCTTGGCTATTCTTAGTTTTGTTTGAACATCAAGAAATTCACTGTATTTTTAGTTAGTAAATTCCCGTTCCTTTTTTTTTTTTTAAAGTTTCCTTCCCCTAAATTGTTTGCCTGTTAGAAATAATAAACACTTAAATAGTGCTTACTATGTTCTAGTTGTTATTCTTTTTTTTTTTCTTTAATTTTTTGAGACCTGGCTGTCCTGGAACTTACTGTTAGACCAGGCTGTCCTCCAAACTCCTAGAGGTCCACCTGCTTTTGCCTTCAGTGGCTTGTGCCACCACCGCCCAACTCTAGTTGCTATTCTAAGCCCTTTAACTGACTTGATATTTTTATTTCTAATGTTTTCTTTATATGGCTGTTTTGCCTGTATGCATGTATGTGCACCAGATGCTTGCCTTGTTCCTGTGCAGTCCAGAAGAGGTCATTGGATCCTCTGGAACTGGTGATAAATGATGATTGTGAGCTACTATAAGGGCACTGGGAATTGAACATGGGTCCTCTGAAAGAGCAGTAATATTCAACTGCTGAGCCATCCTCCAACCCCTACCCGAGTTGATCTTTAAAGAAAGTACACAGAGGAGTTAAGTAACTTGCCTAAATCATCTGGCTCCAGATTCTACCCTTAAGAGTAAACATAAGTTAAGGAGCTTCGGTAGGTTAAACACTTGCTCTGTCTTAGGCATTGACAAATATTTTTGCAGAGTTTATCTGATGTCATTACCCTAAAGTTACATAATATGTACCCCATTGTGTAGATGAGTACTAACAGGAATACTAACATGACACAAGGTAGATGAAGAAACTGCTCTAGATCACTTTCATGAAGTTGGCCTCTAAATGTGCCTGATTTAAAACGTGCTGCTAGTAACTATTAAAATCTAGAAAAAGCTTCTGGCTTTTTGCAGACTAATGTGAAACAGATACATTTCATAGGGCATATCCTTGAATTTCAGAATGGCTCAAATAAAATGTAATTTATTAACCAAACTTGAAGCTTGTGAAATGATTTTATTTGTAATGTTTCTTTTAGACAAAGACTTAGTAGATTAGAACAGCCTGAAATTTACTATGTAGCGCCTGGCTGGCCTTAAACTAACATTATTCTCCTGCCTTAGTCTTCCACGTGCTAGGATTACAATCATGAAGTACCACACTTGACTTAAATTATTATTATTTTTTTTTGGAGATACAGACTTTCTTTGTAGTTCTAGGCTGATCTCCCAACTCACTTTATTCTCGAGTGTGGGAAATAGATAAGTTCTCCCATGCCTGAAGTGCTATGAGAGAGTGAGGGTGTGTGTGCTGGTGATCCAACATGTACATGTATATGTTTTACATGTACTAAGCATATATTTTACCACCGAGCTATTTACTTTATTTGTCTGCTAGTCTTTTTCAGTTTTTAAGATCTATTTTTATGGGCTGGAGAGATGGCTCAGAGGTTAAGAGCTCTGGCTGCTCTTCACAGGTCCTGAGTTCAATTCCAGCAACCACAAGGTGGCGCACAACCATTTATAATGAGAGCTGGTGCCCTCTCTTGGTGTGTAGGCATACATGCAGACAGAACATTGTATATACGATAAATAAATCTTTTTTAAAAAGATTTATTTTTACCTCATGTGTATGAGTGTTTTGCCTGCATGTATGTATGTATGTATGTGTACCATTAGCATGCTTGGGAGGTCAGAAGAGGGCAATTCCCTGGAACTGGAGTTACAGACGGAGTGCTGGGAACCAAATGTAGATCCTCTTGCAAGAGCAACAAGTACTCCTAACCATGTTTTTTTTTTTTTTTCCAGAATTGGTTAAAATATTCCAATTTTTGTCTATCAGTATGTTATTATTACTAATGATGTTTAAAAGAACATACATGTATAAATAAGATCAATGGACTATTTTGATCACCAAAAAATGAGAGCAGTTCCTCTTAGGTTTCTTTATGTAAACTTTGTACTGTTACCTATGTTATATATCCATCTTAATTATTTAGTATCTGGATTATTGTAGCAGGTGTGAAAAGCAGAGTTTTATTGTTGTTTTGGGTGGGCTTCTTTTTATGAGGGATTAGTCTACTTTAGTTTTTCTTTATATAGGCCAGTCTGGTCTCCAACTTGGAACCCTTCTTAATTTCTTTTTAAAATTTAATTTAATTTTATATGCATTGATGTGAGGGTGCCAAACCACCTGGAACTGGAGTTACAGTTGTGAGCTGCTGTGTGGGTGCTGGGAGTTAAACCTGGGTCCTTTGGAAGAGCAGATAGTGCTCTTAACCACGGAGCCATCTCTCCAGCCCTCATTCTTAGTCTCTTTTTTTTTTTTTTAATTTTTTTTTCTTAGTCTCTTAAGTGTTGGGATTATAAGCATATACTACCATGCATGGCTCTGTGGTTTTACTTTTTCATTTTGTACTTTTTTAGAAGAAAGCTGAAAAAAACACAACTAATTAATTTTATTACAATGACTATTATGAATTGAATTATTATTTTTTTCTTTTTGTTCATAGTTCAGAGATCTTTACATTTTTTAAAATTCTATCCATTTTCTTTTTTAATTTTCACTTTTTATTTTATTTTAGTTTTTTGTTTTGAGATAGGGTCTCTTTCTCTATATAGTCCACGTTCTTGGAACTCTGGCCTTTAATTTGAAGAGCTCTCCCTCCTGAGTGCTGAGATTAAAGGTGTGTCATGAGTCACCATACTTGACAAATTTACACTTTCAAAACGTTGAAATAGAATTATTAATTTCCCTTTCTTCAGCCCTTTCCATTTGCCCTTTCTAGAGTCCCTTTCCATTGTTCCTACTCTCAAGTTGATAGCCACTTTTTCTTTGTTACCGTTAC